CCTTTGTGCCCCATTCAGTTGTTGGCTTCCATGTGAAGACTGCCAGCAAAAGAGACCAGGTGCCACAAAGGCATTTGTCTGCAAGAAACCAGCTCTTTCCTCAGAGACTACAGAAAAACCCTCAGCACTAACTCATCTGAGCTGGAGTTGAGTTGGTACATCAATGGGGAAATGTACTCTGCTTCCCCTGAATTAAGGTAATGACAATAGATCCCTGGCCCTTCTCATAAGGTGACAACCAAGTGGAAGAATATCTCCTCTGCTCCCCCGTACAAAGAGGAACCAGGGTTTCATTCCTGATCCCAATCACTTCAATTCTTGCCCATCATGATCTACAGGTGTCATTCTGATGTCAAGCCCAAACCCTGCAGTGATGGGCACTTTGCAGCACTCTAACACTGAGCAGCTGTGGATGGAGTTGCCGTTTTAGCTGGAAGAACAGTTATTCTCATCCAGGGTCTGAAAAGTGGGGGAATACAATGACAACCATCCTGCAGCTGAGTACAATGCACGCATGCACAAAAGCACTGCTGTATGTGAGAGGCTGGATGTGGGCAAAGACGCATCATGAAGGACTGTATCGGTCCCTTGTGCATGGGCAAGGGTCCTTTGCAAAAGTAGAGCAGTGAGCTCTTGAGAATATGGAAACAAGGCAGTTCCAAAGGTTCTGTCCTTCCTTTGCTTTTGAACTGAAAATTGGCCACTGCAATTGTCTTCTATGTATTAAAGGGTAAGCATTTTTCCCTGAAGCAAGAGCATTTTTGTTCTCCTGGTTGTGAAGTGCTCAGGCCCTCTAAGCATACTTCTGTTGCATCTTCAGTGGTAGGTAGTAGCATATTCCATGACAATGAAGCGAGAATTAAGGAGTCTGTACTGGATACCCAGACTGCAAGCCCTCTGTAACATTCCCTGCTGGCCTACATGTACAGCAACCCATTTGAGGGCAAGTTACTCCCACTCAGCCTGAAACATGCTTCAGAATTTAATGAATACACTAATAGGCCCTGTTCCCACCACCTACGCTCCACTCTGTCACCAAGTTCCTTTCAAGAAGGCTCTTTAAACATAGCTTTCATCTTTTTCTTATGGTGATTATTTATTGTACAGTATATTGAACATTATGATGTGTGGGGAACTAAAAGTCTAATCACCTCCCTACCAGTAGGGGGTAATATTGACTAAGTGAGACTCTAAACATGTTATGACTTTGTCAGTGTTTAACATGACATTATAAGAGCTGACTTTTTTCCCACCTGGCAGCAAACATATATGATATGTCATGTTATTGGGCAGTAAGAGGGGCTCTTCTGTTTTTAAAGTTCAGCCTTGAACAAAGGGGACCTTGGACTAAAGGCCTTGCTTGTACCAGGATTACTTTTATTTACTTCATGAGACCCCAACAGGTGAATGATTGAAGTTACCCGAGTAAGGATTTTCAGAATCGGGGTTTGCACACGGTCAGTGCAGCAGGATCTGGAAGTGAGACATCCCTATGAAAATCACGGGATAGTTTCAAGTGTATGATTGGCAATGAAGTGACAGGGGCATGGAAACCTGGTTTAACTAAGATGGAAACTGGAGGTTTTTAAGCTATAGAAGACTCCTTCAAGGTTAGGATAGGGATAGATGCAAGCTAACTAGTATTAGGCTGCACATTATGGTACTAAGGAACAAGCATTACACAAATCAATCTGCTGTAGAAATTGGGTTGGAAATTCCATGGAAAAAGGCTTTTCTGGGAGATAACAATATGTTATGTGCTTCAAGGCAGGCTGGCTGTATACTCTGAGGAGAACCCTGCACAGTGACAGCTTGGAAATACAATTGGCTCCATGCCAAAAGATTATCTAACTGTTTTGACTTCAAAAGCACTTGCTGTAAACATTAGGTGGAGACTGTGCGAGCTGCCCATACACTATTCTGGTTGTTGTGGCTACCTGAAGTACACTCCCTAAAGGCACACAGAGTTAGCTGATTCAATTCGGCAAATAAAAACCCTTCAATTCTTTCTGTATTTCCTCCTTCATTGCTGCTTATTAGTTGCCCAGATGGGTGGGGAGGTATACCCAGGTGCGCCTGGAGCCATTAGGCAGTCTTTGCTTTCAAATAAAAGAACAGGACCTGCATTATGTAAACCCTCCCCCAGTGGGAAATCTAACCTGAACCTAAAATAGAGAGAGGATAAAGGAAAGATTTTGAATGTTCATGAATTTGGCATCTCTCCCTAGACTCCATCTGTTGTCCTGAAAAGCAAACTCCCAGAGAGCAGTCTGGCTTGGCAGTTCTCACTTTTTTTCTCCTGTCACAGGCCACTTTTTACATCAGTATAACCCTTGACACAGAGCAATTAGACCCTTTTTGCCTAAGCTTTAGGCTCCTTATCTACTGGGTAAGGGTGGGGCAAGTTTTTCTTGTGTGGCAAGCATGTTCTCACACAGCACTGAGAACTACAAAAAGCTTTAAAGATCAGGACCTACTCCAAATAAGGTGTTTATTACAGATTAGGTGTTAATGACCCATTGACAAAAATCAACATTTGGCCAGGGGCTAGGGGAGCTTATCTGCAGTTTTCTGAAAGAAAATTATGCGTCACTTCAAACCTTAAGAGGCAGGCTCCCTCCAGGCATGGGGAGAACTCCTCCAGTATGGGAACAACTTACTCTCCTGTTACTGATAAACAGGGACCCTGGTTTTCTCTGACTTAAAAACCCAACCCAATTTTTGGATTAAAAAAAGTAATGCAAAATCCACATTTTTCCATAATTTAAAATGAAACGCCACTATAGTGAGAGAGAGAGAGATAGATATCCTATATATATATATTGGCGTTTCATTTTAATCATGGAAAAATATGTATTTTGCATTACTTTTTTTAATCCAGAAATAAAAAACCTGCAATTTTTAGTTGGAGAAAACCAGGATCCCTGCGGATAAACCAGGCTATGGAGTTCTCTCCTTGAAGGGTGTTACACTATAGGGCAGTAATCCTCCAGGGACTCCGCCAACCACAAGTGCTAAATTAGCATACCCAGAGAAGAGACTCAGGGCCCCTCCATGTTCCTGAGGATTAAGGACAGTTGCCTTGCTGTGCTGGTCTGTCCTGCCATCTATGAGCCACAGGCCAGAACTAGATTGCTTTTCAGCTGTGCTGGAGCACTGCAGGGCAGTCCTTTCAACCTCAGGTTGGTTCCACCAGAATTAGGATTTTTACTTGCCCTATGTCCTATAGGGACCAATGAAGCATAGGGCTCAAATAAGTGCCTCTGCCCACATCCACTTAAGAGGCTCTACCACTGCCCCATGTACAATTAGGGCCATTCCTGCTGTTGCTGCAGCTAAAGCAACTAACCCAGCAGGTGAACAAATCTTTTCTAAAAGCTGTCTAGTAATACATTGCTCTCCTGCTGTTCTAAAATGCTGCTGTAACTCAACAGGGTACTCAGAAGCCTTCAAAATCTCATGCTGCCTCTGAAAGCTTAGGCAAGAAGCAGTCAACTGAATACAGGACCAAAGCTACCTTTGGATTTCTGGTGTTTTCTGCTTTCTTTAAATTGCTATAAAGACAGCATTTGTATTTCTAATATAGCATAAGGCCCAACCTCCCACATGCTGCAGGACAGGTGTCAGCTCCCTGCCCTCTTGGGGCTGGCAGATTGCCAGCATGCATTTACACAAGAAGCAGATAAGGGCACTTAGGCCACTGTAGGTTTGTGCCTGCCTTCAGCTGGACAGTTGCACTGCCCTGTTGTTTTTGTTTTCCAGGAAAGCCTGTCTGACTCCTCCTCATGCTGTTTATTCTCTCTGTGCTTTAACCTATTTGCTTCTCACTGTGTAAAGAAATTTCAGCTAAAGGCCTGCTGTGCTTGAAGCTTCCTCGGCTGTCCTCTCTAGCCTGTAACACTAGCTTTGGCAGCCTCCTAGCTCCCATGCCCGACAATCCTCCATCTTGCTTCCCCTCCCCTTTCCCACTGTGCACAAGGCACAACTTCTTCCAACTTATCTGAATGCAATTGGAGCATTCAGACCCACAAAACGGATATCCTAGCTAGTGACTAATATCCTTTAGTAACCACAATTAAAGCTTCTCTTTGACAGCCATAGACTCAGTAACACGCCAGCCTTCAAGAGCTCTAAACTCCCACTTTAGCTGAAGACAGACTGAACTAGCACTTAGTATGGCAATGCCCCAGGGAAGATGGGCAATTGCACTTCAAATGGTGCTTCTCCAGACCTTGATGGATCACCAGCTTCTCAAAGGGCCTTATTTTACAGGAATCTAGCACTTGCTTTCTTGGGTAATTGAGAAGACTGTACAACTAGGTTATAGAGCTGGTCTCAACTAGGTGGCTTAGCTCTGCTCCTTTAGCTGTTTACATTCCGTTACCTAGCCAGTACAAAGTGACCCCTGCCTCCCCCAAACTTTTCTTTGTATAGTACATGCTTCATAGGCTCACCAAATAGATCCTATGATCAACAGATCCTATGATCTTAACCTGCAGTTCCTCACTTGTGAGCATGGTACAGCTGTCTCTTAATAAGCAGCACTTGCCCAGAAAAACCAGCATAATGAAAATACAAAATTAAAGCCTGATTACATGTTCTCTTTTCCTGTTTAATTTTCAAGCCTCTCCACTGTTGGGTTATGGGTCTTTACGAGCTGTCTTCTTAATCTGCTGCACTTACTAGTTGATAGAAGTGTTGTGAAGAGATTTAAAAGAAAGGATTAACAGCTTCAGGTCAGTTCCAGCTTTCCCTGACATGTAGTGCTGCTAGTCCTGATTACACCAAAAAATAACAAGAACCTGTGCTTGTGACTCACTTCATAGTTGACAGCTACCAAATAAACAGAAACCAGTGTTGGTTTTGGACTGAGTAACAAGGGGTGGCAGCAGTAACTCTTAAACCTTGTGTGTGATGCACCACACCCCACTGAATGGATCACTTTGAAAATGCAGCCCACAAAACAAACCCAGCTGTACAAAACAGAAGAAACTCACTTGTTTAGTTGACATTATTTTGCTTTATTCTTGGGTCTGGATTTTCCAACTGGGAGAAAAGGAAGCCAGGTGGAACTATTCCTTCATCTCCTCCCTCCACTAAAACACTGTAATAACAATTGGAGTTGGAAAAGCATTTTACCTCTGCAGTCGGGGCAGGGGCTAACACGGCTGTTGTATGACACAGGTGCATTTGTCTGCTAATTGCACAGAAAATCTGGAATTGATATTAGAAGTGATTATCTACATTTCAGTGCTGCAGGGCAAAAAGAGGAGAGTGTGTGTGTGTACACAAGCTACTCCTTGATAGCAGCAGGGGCAATAAATAGGAACCAGGAAAAAAGACAAGTTAGCCTACAGCAGCCAACCCACTGTACTGCTTCTAACCAACACCAGCTGGCCAGTCAAGCAGTGCAGACTACTGTGTACAGCAGGGCGATGCATCTAGCTTAAAGTGACTTCAGCAACACGATTGCATCAGATACTCCGTGCCTGAAATCTCCAGTATTATCAGTGGAACTGACCTTTTTTTATATTTGAATGATAAAGGGAAAAAAGAGAACCAGGGGAAATCCTTCACTCCAGGAGCTACTGTCAGTCCTGCAAGTGTCCCAAAGATTGCTGTATTACTTGGATCTCTAATTCTTTTCCCCTCTCTTCCCTTTTATTCAGCTGACCAGACACTTAGAACAATTTCAAAGGTCAGATCCTTACTTGGTGTTGATCTGTGTTGCTCTACTGATTTATGCTACAAATCATCATCATGACCCATTGTCTCCACTGAATCCTGCAAGAGACACACCTTGGTTATTTCTTTTTTTAATTAAGCAATGATGCTTTTTGCTCTTTCCCCCCTAACATCCCCTTCATCTGTTCATGGAATCCAGAAGAGCAGATCCCAGATATAATCCAGTGTGAGAGCAAAAGCTTTCCTATGTTGGAAGAACCAATTGTTTCATGAAATTGGGTCTATAAAGGACCAAGCTTGATTCTCCAAGGTGCTGTAGCTCCCACTGTTCTCAACCTCTCTGAAATATTGGTAATTGCTTAAAATTGAGGACCACTTCTTCTTTTTATGATGCACAAGAAGGGCCTTGCTTCCTTTAATATTATCACTTCCCTCCTAATTTTTCAGTGGTTTGGAATCAGCCAACATAGGCACAGTGTGAATTTCTAAGGTAAATCAAACAGGTGGGGGGAGCAAGCTAATCTGACCCATCCCAAAAAGCAGTAAAAGCCAAAAATCATTGTCCTTTACTTTCTGACAGACTTCTACAAGGACTTCAGTTTTACCTCTGGATTTCTGTAAGTGTAACTTGTATCCTCAGATCATAGATTTCCCAATACTACGCTTTCAAGCACAAACGTACCACTAGTCCACTAAATCCTATAACCTGTAGTAGCCACAATTACACTTAAACAAACACCTCTAGGCTTAATTTTAAGAACAAACTAAAGTGTTTGCTGGGATCAGTGAAGGGCTAATGAAAGCTAGTATTGTACTGTTGAGGGCAGGCTGCTTGCCAGGATGAGGGAAGAAACTTTTATAACCTATTTTAATATAGCAAGAAATGACTTTAAGCATAACAAACTGCCTTTGCTAACAAGGTTCCATTTAAACACAAAGTGATTTGCCAGACTCAAGGGCCAGTGCATTTTTGAAGAGGCCAAGGCTTTTATACCAGTACAGTGCAGGGGGTAGCCATGCTGGAAACAAGGGAGGAGTTGAGGATTTGATGTTCTTTAGAGAAATTCTGCGCAGGGGCATTTCAGGCACCAGGGGTGGAGGCTGGAGGACAGGCAGGGCAGTTGGTGGGGTGAGAGCAATTAAATCTAAGTCACTTTTGTGCAAGTTTGGCAATGAGAGCTTTCCACTCTGCTCTCTTCTGTGTGATGTAAGAGGGAGTGAGCAGCTGCAGCACTGGCTCTTGCTGTCCCCTAAAGTATCCCTGACATAGAGCCTCTGTGTTACAGATCACATACATCCCACAGTCATAGCTATTCTGCTGGGCCGGGGCCTTCTCCTCTATGAAAGCTGCTTTGCCTCCTCTTTTGCCCAGAAAAGCCTCCAGCTTCCCTGCCACCTGCTTGGCATGGACTGAGTTGCTCTTACTATGGGAGTCATAGTGGGCAAAGCAGTTTCTGTCCCTGAAGTACCCCAATAAGCTCCAATGGGTTCCACCAGCAGCCTGACTGGAGTTATCATTGATAGCCAGGAATACCACCTTTTTGTGGGAAAGGTCCAGGGGCTCAAGGAACATGGCTAATTCCTCTTGACTGGTGGTGCACTTGATAAACTGAGCCACTTCAGGGCCAATAAAGCACACTTGATCAGAGAAGTCCTGGAACTGGCTGCTGGCAAAGTACTCAAAGGCAAACCCAATGATATGGTCGTTAAGCCAGCTTGGGGGATCCAGCAATGCAACATCTGACCGTCTCAGCAAGCTGTCCATGTAACTCAAAACAACAGGGTCCATCCTGTACAGGCAGGGTCCACACTGCTCCAGGAAATGTCAACAGCTAGAATAAACCAGGGGGTACAAAAAAAAGTCAGTGATGAGGCAAACAGGTTTCACTTTCTATGCTATTAAAAAAAGAGCTACTTCTAATATTGGAGACTTTCTCTATCACCAAACCACAAGAAAACTCACAGATTTTTACCAACCTGGGCTTAAGGCGTGAGGTTTAAATGGTCTGTCAAGTGACAGCAAGTGTAAGAGGGGAAAGAAAGATGGCTTATCGCTATGTTCCCCATATGAATTTGTTTGTGGTAAAGGCTGGGCTGAGCTCTGATCTGCTAGATTGGCAGGATAGTGCCAAGAGCTGCATTGGTGTCTTCTCTATAATGCATTGGAGGAGAAAGATGGTCCAGTGGTTAAAGCTTTAGCTATAGCTATTACTGACCATAGTTCAGTTAACAGCTGTAGCTAAATCCTGCTTTGCCACAAACACCCTGTATGATCTTGGAAGTAATTTAGTCTCTTTGGCTCATCTGCAGCATAAGAATTGCTCTTCTTTTCCACCTTGCTATAGAGACCTACATGGAGGAAAGATTGTGAAGCATTCAGATATTAAGGTGGCACAGGCACGAAAATAGAGAGAAGCACAACTCATAGTTCTTCTGACACTGTTTGCTCCATAGAAGACTGGTCTCCCACCTGGCCAGGCAGCCATTAGATGAGGTGAAGGGAAAAAAAAAAAAAATCAATCAAAGAAAGATGTCAAACAACTGAACCAACTTCTTTGCCTAACTGCACTTTTTAGGACACAGTTTTCCCACATTTGCCTAGTTCAAATGGTCTAAACTCTTTTTATTTAAATCAAACATATTTTTTATCATGTTCATTTACTTCAGTTCCAATCTGAACATGATAACTTATCCTCAGAGAGAAAGGACAGTTGCTATGCTAATAACTAGTTTTCCTTAAATAATAAAAAAAGAGGGGCTGCAAAAAAGAGGAGTGGCTGCTTGAGCCAGTCAGTGGCCTACTTCAAGAGTTGAGATTTTTTTTCTTAATGGTTCCAGTTACACATTCATCCCTTCCCCTCTCTGATCCTTGTAGCAGCAAGAAAACAGTAACTTCTAGAAAACCCACACGCTTTCAAATGCCTCCCCTAGATGGAATCAGAACTTGTGGCAGAGGTGATATCTTCTATTGTCCCAACTAGATTTTTTGCAAAAAAGTCTATTATTTGCAAGCTTTCGGGCACAAGCACCCTTCTTCAGGTATAGGAGAAAAGATTGTAAAAGTCCTCCTAGGTAGAAATAAAAGCTCATATTTCATAGGAGATTTGAAGGTGGTGTTGGTTGTATCCATGTTGGCCTCAGGGCATGGGCAGACAAAGTTATTTGGGTAAATGTATCTCTTATTAGACCAACTGAATAGTTGGAAGATTGTTCTTTGCAAGCTTTTGGGTACAAACCTGAAGAAGGGTGTCTGTACCCGAAAGCTTGCAAAGAACAATTTTCCAACTATTTCATTGGTCTAATAAAAGATACATTTACCCAAATAACTTTGTCCCCTAGATGGACGCTGTCAAGCAGAATAGATCCCAAATGAAGGGTCATATTAAAGTTACATTATAAAATCAGTAAAGAAAGTTTGGACACTTTTAGGATTTTGCTGCTAATGCTGGAAGTCCAAACAGAGAAGCACAGAGTTACCATGTAGAATTCTTGTTCTAGGTTAGTTACAGCTTAACAGGTGTCAAGTGGTTATTAACCCCTCTTCTCACTTTTTCCACTATACCAAAGGGGAGGGCATGCTTGGATTTTCCCAACTTGGAAACGGGTAGAAAATGACTAGGTTAGTAAATAAGAAATTGGCAAGCAAAACTGACCAACCAAGCATACAAGCTGAGTAAAATGCAGGGTACCAGACAACGCAAAGTAGCAGCAAATAGTTTTAATTTGGATGATTTTATACTACAAAACTTACCAAACACAAGGAAATACTACTTTAATACATTAAAGAAGCAGTTATCCTCTGAAGTCCAGGTTGGGATTCAATCACTACATTTCCACCTACGTAAGGGAATCCTTTGACAGTACTGGATTGACATAATGTCTTCCTTGCCTCCCCTCTTTCCATCATGCTCCTGCCTGATGTTCCTTGGTGGCTGAAGTACACCCTGGAATCCACTGGCCACTCAGATGTTGGGGACTTACTTGACAGTTAGATGGCCACCCAGAAGAGAGACTGTAAGTGTGACTTAAAGCCACTTTTGTTCCACCCTCTCCTAACCTGAACTACATGCTGCATATGAACATACTGGGATCAAGTGCTTAGTGATAACACCACTTCAGTGTGACTCATTATAAACAAGACAGCCTTAATCTATAATGATAGGAAAGGGCTCACATGCATTAGTTTGTTTACAAACTGGAAAGGAATGGATTTGGGCTTTCATCATTGCAATGCGAGTGAAGAAGAAAAAAAGCCTTTCCTAGTCCAGGTATGTATAAATTGAAAGATTAATTTGAGTCCTAAATAATTTTGGCAAAAAGCCTTTGACATGCACCTTGTTAAATAGAATAACTGTAAAATACAGGAAATGTGGTATATGTGTAATATTCCAGAAGAAAGGCCCAATGTAACCATCTTAACTGGCAGAAGCTAATAGCTATACAGGTGCACAGGCTGTTCCAGCACAAGCTAAATAATATCATTTAGAGGGAAGGGGAGCATCCATTATTATGTATACTGAGATATATACAGGCAGCCCTCGACTTACAATGTTTTGCACTTACAACGTTTATAAATTGACACCCTGTTTCAACTTTATGATGTCAGTTTCGACTTTACAATGCTTGATCCGATGCGATGCCACGCCAGCGAACAAGTTTGCTGCATCATTCATCTCCCTGGAGAACATCTGTCCAAATTTCCTTGGACACTTTCTTTAAGAAAGCAGACAAGACTCCAGAAAAACCTGCAGCCAAAACTCCTGAGAATACTCCATCCAAGAACCCTTCAAAAAGTCCAACCAAGAGACTTTCAAAAAGTCCAGCAAAGTCACCTCAAAGACGTCCTTCCAAATCAATATGATTGCTATTAACAATATAAATACATTAATGTAGCTATATTACTCATCTATAATCGATCAGGTACAAAATTCTGGGGTATTTTTGGTGAAAATAGGGTATTGGGCCTTGGTTCAGGAACCATTTATAACATTGTTTCTTATGAGAAAATTGGTTCCCAGTTGCAACCTTTTGACTTAAGATTCAGTTTTAAGGAACTAATTGTGTCGTAAGTCCAAGGACTGCCTGTACAATAGTATATGGGCACACTTGACATTCTGCCAACGAACACATGTCTAAATTATTTTCAAATTTAAAAAATTCTGGGTTCTACAATTCAGAAAGGATGTGGAGAAGCTTGAAAGAGTCCAGAGGAGAGCCACATGCATGATCAGAGGGCAAGAGAGCAGGCCTTATGAAAAGAGACTGTGAGCCATGGGACTCTTCAGCCTCCAAAAGCATAGGCTCAGCAGTGACTTGGTGGCAGCCTATAAGTACATTAGGGGTGTGCATCAGGATCTGGGGGAATGATTGTTCACCAGAACACCCCAAGGGAAGACAAGGTCCAACAGTCACAAACTCCTGGAAGACCATTTCAGGCTGGACATAAAGAAAATTTTCTTTACTGTCCAAGCTCCCAAGGTGGGAGCAAGCACCTACTTTGGACACTTTCAAGAAACACTTGGATGTTTTATCTTGCTGGGATTCTTTGACCCTAGTTGACTTCCTGCCCCTTAGGTGGGGGCTGGACCTGATGATCTTATGAGGTCCCTTCTAGCCCTAATGTCTATGAAAATCGATACATGGCAACAACCTTCTGTTTTTAAAAGGGCAAAAACAGAGGAAACATGGCCAACTTATTAAGTCTCCAAGACTTTATACAGACTTTATAAGATAACTGAGCACTAAAGTCTTAAGGATCTATCAAGGCAATCCAGAAGTGGCCAGTCTTGAATTTGAAGAGTTCCTGGTGAGAAAGTTCTTCCTCACTACTCTGTTTCTGCTTCACTTTTTCCCAGAGACAGTAAAACTGCCAAACATGCCTTGCAAGCATTAACAGTTGCATCACAAAACTTGCATCCTGTGCTCTGTAAATTTTTCACCCTACAGAAAAGAAACTTGGTTTGAGGCTTTTTTTTTTTTTGTAAGCCATGTGGTAGCTTCCCACAAGCATTCTTTCTTCCTGATTTAGAGTAACCACCACCTAATTGCTACTAGCTACTACTTTTAATGTTATTGCCATCTGGTATTTGTGAAACTGCTTGTAAGTTCTGCATAGTGACTCACCAGATATTACACAGCTTAAAGAACACCTCACAGATTCATATTGCTCCCAAACCATCCAGTCCAAGTGGTACATACTGCACAAAAAAAAGATTAGTAGAACCAGTTGGAAAGTGTACACAATCTCAGATTTCTCTTTCTAACTAAGCCTTCCAATTCAAACTAAAGATGAACTTGCTGTCATGTTTGGATATGGTTTTGTATCTAAAGTTCAGAGGTCTTTCAAGTCCAAGTCACACAATTAAATCAGTTAATTCCCTGGTGTTTAAAAGATTCTCAGAGTCCACTTCAAATGCATATCAGACCTACTCTCTGGAGACAACTGCAAGCACATCCTTATTAAATCTGAAAAAAATACCGACCAAGGACTAGAATGCTTATTCTATCATAAACAGAACCATACTCACTGATTTTTGTTTTGTTTTTGTTTAAAGTAGCTTTTTAAACTTACGAAAGCAACATATACTCCTCTGCCTTGCTGCTGGACAAAGCAACAACGGCTTTGAAATAAGACATTTACCTGCTTTCCTAGGTGAAGGTAAGAATATAAAGTGGTGGTTTGGGGGGGGGGGGGGGGGGGGGGGACGGGAAGAGAAGAAGAAGTTTAAATAGGAATTAGGGAAAACCAAAAAC